TGCCGTTCAGGAAGCCGTGTGGTTGAGGAGATTCCTTCAGCATTTTGATGTTGTCACACACACTTCAGATCCTGTGACTATCCATTGTGACAGCATGGCTGCACTCGCTTACGCTAAGGATCCTAAATACCATGGCAGAACCAAACACATTGATGTGAGGTTTAATTTTATCAGAGATATTTTGGCGCAGAAAGAAGTGATCCTGGAGCACATCCCTACGAGTCGCATGGTTGTGGACCCTTTGACTAAGCCCATTGCTAGAGATGTTTATCTTACTCATGTTAGGGCTTTAGGACTACGTAGGTGGTGATTTTTTTTATGTGTATTCAGTTGAACTCTTTTTTTTGGGATATTTATGCCATTAGTATTCATACTTGTTTCTATCACACATTTATGTTTACTACTTTTAGTAATGGTTTGTGAATTAGCATACACAAAACAATTAAATTGATGTTAGCAGGCAAGATTGGCTCACTCACACGAGCAATCGCCCTTAGCGCTGGGTAGCGAGTAAGGATGAGACTAGAAGCTAAAATTATCCACTAGCTATGTCGCCTTGGTTGGAGCCAAGATGAGGTCTTGTTAGAGACCGACCATGGATATGAGAGTACCCACTTTTCCATGATATGTCTGTTATGGATAGCCAGATGCGAGATCTCATTTGATGCCTGAGAGGCGAGCAAATAGAGAATTCGAGTTAGACGCTAGGAAGCGACTCGTGCGCTTAAGAGCGACTAGACTAAGATCTGTATGCTGTGCGGGTTTAACATCACTCTTTGGAAGAGTTACTCCACTATAACATGCATTCATACTGCATGTGCTTATCGACCCGTTAGTGAGGTGAAAGAATAGATCCCTGCTTCTTCACCGTGTGAGTCATAAAAGTCATTTTTCTCTAAATGACTTTACTTTGTGCCTTTTGTGACCTTTGACTATGTCATAAGATGAGGAGTTGATGTTCAGCTACTTTGGTATGTTGCCTGTGGTCATGTATGATTCGGCTTTAAGGGACATTACTGGGAAAGTGGTCAATTTCAAATTGAATGATATGAGGGTGAAGGGAAGATCATCTAGTTCTACATCTCTGCTCTATATTCACTGTCGACAACTCACATCGCTCTTTATAGGATGCTGATTGGGTGTGAATATAATGCGGGACCTAGGAGAGTCAAACATGCTCTTTGAGGGATTAGAGATGTTTTTGGAATGATGTAGCTAGATGGGTCTGGGTACATGAGACACTATTTCTGTTCTTTTTGGGTTGATGTCTCTATGCTGACTCATATTGAGTTTCTAGTATAGAGCTCCCACATACAGGTGTTCTCAGCGGTCGCACGGTGCATTGGCTAGTATGAGATTGTTCATTTTTTGGGAGATTGAGATAGAGATGTGGCAGTGTCATGCCAACTCATGTGCGAGTGGGAGATGTTAGTAATGGGCGCCCATGTGGCATGGCCATTAGAATTTGAACCTTATCCAAATAGGTTTTGAAATTGAATTCAAACCTATTTAGGATAACCACTCAAGATACAGATATTATCAGTTTTAACTGATATGGATAGATATAATAATATATTATATATCTGGAATATGGTTATGGGTGATTAAGAGAGAAACAGCGTATGATCTGTTTCTACCCATATACTGACTCTCTCCCAAAAATAACGATAAAGTCTTTTGTACTGTGATTTGTGTGGGTGATATTCAATCTGTGACTTCACTGCTGGGTTGGTTTATCAGTTTCTGGAAGCACGTGATTTATCCACGAGGTTCTATCATCAAAAAGGTATGATCTAAACATTTTATCCGCGGCATGTTTTGTGTTTTGATTTACACTAACAGCTGAGATTATCACCAGGGGATAATCTTGACTACCATCTTCCATGTTTTTTTTGTACAGGCCACTCGGTCAATTCAAAATTTTAAATTTTGACTCAAATAAAATAGCACCCACAATTTTGCTCTATTTCACAATATTATCACCATTTTCTTAGTAAAAAGACTAAAAATTAGCCTTCGTCCAACCAAAACCCATCTCAGAAAACAACGGCATAATTGTAATTAAGTTTTTGAAAATCCTAACCGTTGACAAACTCACGCTTGAAAAACCCACAGATTCATGATATCCGCCACCACAACAGACCACCCTCATATATCACACACATATAATCAACAAGCAAAGCATAGACTATTTCAAAAATGGTACTTGGTCAACACATAATAAAGCTCTGTAATGCCGTTTCAAAAAATACCAAATTTCATTATTCAAAGTGTTTTCACCATAGTCCAAGCATACAACAACCAATTATTCAACTATAAATACTCCAAACCCCTACAGTCTTTTGTCATAACACATCTCCAACAACTAAAAGCTCTCTCATCAAACATTGTCAGGTTTGGGTTTTCTGCTTCCATACCAAAGATGTATTTCTCCCGAAAAAGAGTAGTACTGATCGTTTTTGTGATCTTTGTTGCCTTTTTGTGTGAAACACATGTCGGGGCAACGAGGGTTTTATCAGAGGATTTTGGCTGTGGAAACCGCATTGCGACATACCCATCCGTGTTTGAGAAAGCCAAGCTGTCTGTGGCATGTTGGCTTGAACGCTTACCATCTGGACCTAGCCCAAGAGGTCCAGGCCACTGAATCATGGAAGTTTTTGAAGGACATGTTAGCCAGTCACAAGAAGTATATACACGATTTGGTTTTTGTTATACATGGAATACTTAGAGGATACAAGTGTAAATGAATAAACAAAATTCTCTTATTTTTATTGTATGAATAAACAAAAGTATAATTTGAATCAATTCTCATACCAGGCTTCTGATCTTGTGTTGCTGTTGTTGTTTTTTTTTCTTTTTCATTTTTTTTTTTAATTTTTATAATATAGTTTATGGGTTATACATGGCTTTCACATTATTGGAAAACAACAATATTGCATCTCCTAATTTATCATCTCTAAAGGTTAGATCTCAAATGATGAAATGTTTGATAAATCAAAATTTGACATTTATCATATACATCATTCGATGTCTCAAGCATTTTTCATTGAAAAATTCTAGCTGGTGAGAATATTCAAGAAAGTACTAAAAATTTGATGTGATGCCTATTACACTCAAAATGAATATGATTCATACATTTCAAGTTTGGATACCTTTCTAATTTTTTTAAAAGTATGTAATATTGTTATTCTTATATCAAAATGCTTTAAATTTTTTTTTAAAAAAACCAAAATATTGTTTAGATTTTAAATCGATTGTATACAATTATACTTGATTGTGGTATTAAATACATGAGAGTGAATCTGATGGACACATTTCAAATTTGAAGTGTATTTATTAACTTGATGAACCTAATATCTTTTTGCCCAAGACCACTTGTCCTAGAATGCACAAAATATATTTTCAAGCATAGAGTGTAAAGCAACCATTTTGCTACTATTGTTTACTTCAAATCCATTATAAAGTATGTTTCCCTAAATAATTGCATAGTTTGCAGCAGAAGTAATTGTTGTTTATTATTTTTTTTTTTGGCTTCAATTGATGAAACATTGATGTTTTTAAAAGAAGTTGGTGACCTATGAAATGCACTGATTCAGACATATCTGACTTGTGTTATGCTGTTCAGGAGTAACGACCAAGTAACAATACTATATTTTGTTGGAGTATTTAGCAAAATAAATAAATAATTGTAGAGTCAAAATAAACATGGGCAAAAATTATAACTATGAGAAGACATTAGATTTACTTGATTCGACAAATTTGCCTATATTTATGGATATTACCCCTCGTCCATTGTATTAAATATGTATTACATATCATATCTTCAGATATATGAAAATACAATAAATCGGACTGAGGCGCAGTAATCTCACTCTCTTGAAGGAGATTCAAACCCTTATCGGTTGGTAAAAACTATCACTCTTCGATATAGCAGAATATCACATATTAGCCTATCTCCCTCAGGATATAACAACCCAACTTTTAGTCATGTTGACTCCATAAACTCTGCACAAACAGGGCTAACCCTGAGTTTTCAGGGGCCTAAGGCGAAACGAAAAAAAAGGAGCCTATATTCATTAAAAAAAAAAAACCCAATTTGGTATCACTACCCACTACAAGAAAAAGCATCTTTGGCGATTAAAAAAGCACATTTGGTCGCTGAAAGTATAGGTTTTGGCAACTAAAATAGTATTAGTCGCCAAAAGTGGTAATTTTAGAGGGAATTAAGTTTTTTAACGACTAAAAAATAATTAGTAGCCAAAAGTATAGAATTGGCGACTAAAATTATGTTTAGTTGCCAAAAGTGGTCTCTTTTTTTTTTCTAGTAAATAATTTATTTTTACATAAATTATGTTCAATAAAAAATAATTATCTTTATATATATACTTTTATATTAATACGGGTCCATGTACTATATAAATAATATATGTTGCATATATAATCATATGGTGTTATAGAGACGTAGTGGAAAGAGCATATTGTATAAAGTTTATAGTGTGGGAGGTTGATGGTTTAAATTTCCACAAGAGCAGATGAGAAACTAGTGAGTGTAATTTTTTTTTTTTTCACGAATGAGCTTTTGGCCACTAAAAGGTTTAGTCGCCGATTCCTTGAGTATTGGTGACTAAAACGTTGGTCGGTAAATATATAATTTAAAAAAATACAATTGACTATTGGCAACTAAAACATTGATCGGTAAATGTATAATTAAAAAAATATAATTGATTATTGGCGACCAAAGCTTTGGTCGCTAAAGACTTGCTTTTTGGTGACTAAAAGTTTTTTAGTGGCCAATACCTTTCCCAACCGTTTTTCGGTGACTAAAAAATTTAGTCGGGGAAACTTAAAAATCGACTTTTGAGGACTAAAAATTGACTTTTGGTGACTAAAAATTTAGTCGCAAAATGTGTTTTTTCTTGTAGTGACCGGTGATTGATATTAAAATAAATATCAAAATGTATTCATTCTAGAGTGAAAAAAAAAACTACCGGCGATTGATGCTTAAATAGATATCAAAATGTATTCATTCTAGAGTACAAAAAAAAATAAAAAAAAATAAAAATAAAATTACCATAAGGTATAATTCAAATCAGCAAAACAAATTAATTAATCAACAAAATTAATTGATGAAATGTTCTAGCAATGTGAAGCAAACAAATCTACTTGTTTCTTGCTACCAAAATATTTATCAAGTGCTCCCGATTGAGATTGAATTAATTGTTGTACTTTCATTTTCTTCTTTCTCTTTTCATTTCCAGAACTATACTTATTAGGAAACATAACTATAATCACAATTCAATCCACAAATCACAACCTACTGATTATTTCATATATAATAGTAAAAAAATAGAAAAAATAATTTAGTGAAACAAAACTAGGGCAAAAAAATTGGGGAAAAATTATTTATTCCACTAAAATCTGATAAATAAAAAAGGTTAAAAAAAAATTAGGACAAATTTATTATTCCACTAAAATCTGATAAAGAAAGAAGGTAGAAAAAAATTAGGACAATTTATTTATTTCATTAAAATCTAATAGTAAGAGGGAGAGAGAGAGATGGGAGACTTACGGGGTGAGAGAGAGAAAGAGAGGCGCTGCCGTTGATAATTTGCAATCAATTTCTGCCGTTGCTTAGTGCTCTGCTTATGCTTGGTATGCTTCCTTTCCTTCGTCACTTTATGAGAGAGAGAGAGCTTGTATGTATTATTCTTCTCCTTGGGCCATCAACACTTTCTGTAGATTTTTTAATTTTAATTGGACTAAATCACACTTATAAATAAATATGATCCAACAGAATATTTTTGAGCTTTTGAATTGGCCCTAAAATAACAAAAATAATTTAGGCCAATTTAAATTTATAAAATACTTTAATACTTTAGTAAGTTTGGAGCCCATATTTTGGGCTAAATTTTTTAGGCCTAAGGCACAGGCCTCAATGGCCTTAGCCCAGGGCTGGTACTGTGCACAAATAAGTGAGTCCAAAGTTTTACCACAAAAACACCTATTTAGGTTGCCTAAACATTTCTGTATAAACACAATATAAAATGTATACACACTCATATTCTTCATGTATACTTCCTCATATATATACACATCCATCAAAACATGAAGAGTCTCGTATTAAATATAATAATAAATCAATTGTATCTCATAACTTTTCACGTGACTCAAATCTTTTCAATTCATCATATTGCATTATTATATAATTTTTAACTACACGTTATGACATAATATATATATATACATATATATAATATTTTAATATTAAAATAACATGAGTGCATCGATCCACCAACATATTTCAAACCATCAAGTCAAGATTTGTGGGTTTATATAATATTATGAGGACTAATTAGTTTAGGAAATAATAGTCAAGATTGGTGGATCTTTATTTAGTGAATATATTTTTAGGGGGCACGCCGCCACTTCGGGGGCATACTAAGGATATGCCAAATTGTCTTTTCTTCTATTTTATTTAGTGCTTTTGATAAATGTTGAATGTTTATTATTTTTTTCTTAGATATAAAAATACTTAATAGATCATCCATAAAAAAGATATAAACTGCAAGTGTTATTTTACAAGTACTTTTTCTTTACATATAAAAAAAATATAGAATTAGAGTTAGTTTTTGTTAATATTGATTATTTGTGGATGTAATATTAATCTAAATAGAAAATAAAAATATATGAAAATATATTTTATTACCGTGTTCCCAACATGTCCTCGCCATGTCCGTGTCATTATTTTTCTGAAATCGCGGTGTCCCATGTCCGCATCTGTATCCGTGTCCATACTTCTTAACTTATAAATTTTCTTAATATATGTTTGAATTAGTGTATTTTGAGGCCATGAAACAGATTCACTTTAGTATTACTTTATCCAGTGACAATGTAATCATATTTTGTGAAATTAAAATTTTAAAGTAACTTCTAATTACATAGAATAATTTTATCAATTCATATTAAATTAGGTTTATAATTACATAATGTCAACAACTACTAAATTTATAGAAACATAAATGTTGAAAATCAAGCCACGTGCCTTTTCTTTATTCCATATGCTTTCGGTTGATTTATTTATTTCATGCTTTCGGTGGTTAGTTATTATAATAATATGTAGTGGCCTCGTGGCCTGCTGGTTGGTGTTTTTGGCCTCGTGGCCTCATGGCCTCCATCTGATCATATTGTATAAACCTCCTATATAATGGAGTAGTATTGTAATGCTTAACAGATTGAAATAAAAAAAGAGTCTATGTTTATGTTTAGTCTTTCAATCACTCTCTCTCTCTCTCAATATTAATATTTTTTCAATTCATTTTAATTTCATACTTTCAAAGCTATATTATTACATAATTATATCAAGACTCCTCTCCAAGCATGTTTACACTTTGAAACTCTGCTTTGGATATTCTGATTTTGTAGAGAAATTTTCCTACTTTCAGCTTGTAATATTGATTTAATGGGTTTTCATGCTCTGTTTAATCAGAATTTTAGGGGACATGTTTTCCAATTACAACAGTCTTACCTAATTATCATGTTGTATGACTGTTTTTTTTTTTAAAAAAAAAAAAAAAAAAACTATTCTAGCTGATTACATTTTCAATCCTAGTTATTCATCCTACCATTAGACTTGACCATTTTTTAAAAAGGGTCTTTCTAATTAACAATCAGTCATAAATCATACAAAGAAATAAAATTGAAGAATACAAGACAAGTGGTTCAGCTAAGGAAACAGATGAAAACTTATAGAATTCCACATTAGGAATAAATGAAAAAAAGAAACAAGAAAAAACAAGTGAAACTTGTTCTGTATAATATTTTGGTTGATTCGATCGGTATAAAAATTTCCAAATGTGAAAACAAAAAACAGATTGAAAACAGAATTTCGATTGGTCTTAAAAACAGTCTATTCGATTCCATCATTTTTCTGACACTCCTAGGCGTGATATCCCCTTCCACTTCCAAAGATGAATTATTCACAAATCCATTACTTCGCTTTTTTTAATATCCGAGCATGTATAATCTTTGAAATTCTGCTTTGGAGATTTCACAAATTTTGTAGAGGATTTTTCCCAATTTCAGCTCATAATATTGATTTAACGTGTTTCGCATGCTCTGTTTATCAGAATTCTGGGGGCAGGTTCTGAGGTTCAAGTTTTTAATTTCCACAGATTGATTCAAATCAATAGAATTCAAGTCACAATCATTTTGTCTATGTACTAAAATCAAGTTGATTTATTATTTCTTGAAGAAGCCAACGATTAATACTGTTCAGCATCAACTAAACAATAAATTTAATTTATTCCTTCTAGGCCATGACCAAACATGTACCTAAACCTCTTGTTCATCCATGCTAATGGTATTATTACAGGGAAAAAATAATTCAAACAAACATACTACTATTTATTTTCTTTCTTCCATGTACCCAAAATTAGATGGTACCGAAGAGCCAGCTTTGGTGAACTAACAGCTGAGATTATCACCAGGGGCAACACCAAATTGGCTGCAATAGTTAGTGTAGAGATTAACGCGGGCAGTCACAAGATCAGTTCTTTTTCCATCGCATTCAACGGCACCATTAATTGCTCGGATTGTTGCACCAAACCCTTGTCCAGTAGTCATTACAGAGTGAACATTTTGCATCCAAAACCACAAGGCCGCCTTGAACGATACGAGTGAATCTGTTGCCACAGTTTCCGGGTTGGCTAGTCCATCGAATCCAATGAAATCTCCAGCAGGACCGTAGTTGTAGTTCCAGGACAGCTGAAGAGGCCCTCTTCCATAGTAACTCTTGTTTGGTGCACATGGGTACTGTGTATATGTTGCATTGCAGTAGTTTGAGCTTGGGCTTGTCTCATCTATGTTGCAAAAATCTGCAGGAAAAAAAATAATTTTGGGTGTCAAATTCAAAATGTAAAAATTAATTGATTTAGTGCACATAAAATGTATATAAATAGACATAAAGACAGATGAGTGAAATTGGGGCAAAGAAATTATGTTGAAATCTTACATCCAGTCTCATGAGTAGCATGTGCAAAGAAAGCAGCAATTTCGCGCTTAGAATCATCAGTAGTTCCAATGGTACCAAAAGCAGAGAAAGAACTGAGAGCATTAAGAAATGCCGACCGGGTATAGAAGCTGGTCCCGACACATCCAGCAGGAGCTTGATTGATTATCCCATCGAAAAATGCCTGTGTCACAATATCAGAAACCGACACACCATTGGAACCGGTGCAAGGCCCTGACTGGCATCCTGTACCACAGTAGGCAGCGTCCTGGCCACAATAACCGGCCTGGCTGCAGCAGTATCCTGTAGCACAACCACAATTCTGACCCACTACGATTTCTGGCAGGACTACTCCGGCCAGGATGATTAGTGTTAGGAAGGTGTTTTTTAAAGTGAGGGATACCATTTTTGGAAGAAGAAAGTGTGTTGGAATGGAGGGAGATGTGTGGTGTGAAAGTAAGGTTTGGGAGAGAATTTATTGACTCAACAATGGAAGGTGCTAGGAAAAATCAGTGTATTGTAAGGTGGCTTTCGAATTGAAGAGGAGACCAATTCAATTATGAGAGACCGTGTTTATTTTGGTTCTGTGTCTTGATTGACTTGTCGACTATGGTAATCTCACTTCTAATGAGTATAAGGAACGTTTGATTTGTTTGGTTGAGGAATTTGTGAATGGATTTGGAAAAAGAAAAGAAAAATTTATATGAAATTATGTGAAATATAAGTTTATTTTATGGGAGCTTTTTTGATAAATCCATTTTCTAAGAGCTTTATTCCATCCCATATTCTTTTTGACTATTCCATTAGGTCCAATTTGAGATAAGAAGACCAAAATACCCTTTTCATCTACTTATGTTCCATTAGTTCGCATTATTTTATTATGTTTCAATAAGTCCTATGGGTGACATAATTACCAAAATACCCTTAATGTGAATGTTCACACCGTCAATATAAATGTTTATATCGTCAATGTGTAGGGGCCCGTCACATAAGAGACCGGT